CCTTGTCCAAGAAGGAGGGGGGAGGGCAAAGGAGGAGGGGGGGGTACAGAAAGTGGAGACGAAAGCAGACGACAGAATATTGTTAGAGAGCAGGAAAGGATGTGAAATAAGAACATTTTGGAGAAGAAAATTTTCCGTCGCTTTCCGGATTCGAATCAGGGACCTATTGAATGAGAGTCGAACACTTTGCCCTAAACTCTAGGCCGCGAGGACACACAAACTGATTTTAGATCTTTTTTAATGTAGTGTTTTACGACTCCATCGACACAATTTGGACCATTTAGGTGGCGGGCTTCCGGGCCTGCCTGTCAGGGCCAACCCAGGCTGAGAGGGATAGATCTAAAACGTTCCAGCAGAAAGACCGCAAAATGCTTGATAAAAATTTCTCTCCACTTGGGAATCGAACACAGGTTTCCTGCGTGGCTCAGCGTAGCGCCGTACCATAGCCGCTACATCACAAACGCCGGTAATGGTTGGTTGGCGGGTGCTCTGGCGTGGTTTGCTTCTTCTTTCCTATCAAACATCTATCGTCCTTATCTCCTCTTCTTCTTTTTATGTTTATCCTTACTCTCTTGTGACACCTCTAATCTCCTGACGCTCGCGTGACCTTATGCAGTTGCGAGTGCCTTAAAACCTCAACTAAAACTAAACTAGACGCCGGTGTTAGTCATTATAATAAAATACACAATAATGTATTATAGTCTACATCCAGTAGTGTGAACGGTCGAATTTTCTGACAGTGTTGCAGTTGCCTCAATGTAAAAACGGCCTCGACGCTACATTTGGCTTTGGCGGCCAGGATGGATTTGTGCGATAAACAGATGTGCATTGTGCAAGCGTGTTTTTATTTTTCAGCATAAATATGTTGAGAGAGAGAGAGAGAGAGAGAGAGAGAGAGAGAGAGAGAGAGAGAGAGAGGGAGACAGAGAGAGAGACAGACAGACAGAGACAGACAGACAGAGAGAGAGAGAAAGGGAAAGAGAAAGGGAGAGGGAGAGAGAAAGGGAGAGAGAGAGAGAGAGAGAGAGAGAGAGAGAGAGGGGGGGGGGGGTATGCACAGTCGATTCTGCCTTCGCAGTCACCTCTCAACAAGGATCACCTGAACCAACAGCCATTGCTCCGTGATATCTTTAGGACCCTATTTTTAACATGTTTAGTCTCCAGTTTCGGTACGTTTCACTTGCAACGCAATAAGATCACATTATAAGTGCCGAAGAATATGGTCGTTATAATATACATGCATAAGAGAGTAACCAACACATAAAAGGTGGAGGAGAGATCAGGACGATAGATGTTTGATAAGCAAGAAGGGGCAAACCGCACTAAAGATTCTCCACTACCAAACCACCCGTCATTTTAAAGGAGGGGGGGGGGAGGGGGCTACACCCCCAAAGCCAAAATTCGGCTCAAAATCATGTAATTTGAGTTGTAGGCGTTTTTAGCTTCCTCGGCCTCTCCTACAACTATTTCATCGCATAAGAACCCCCAAAACCGTATTTTTTCCCATACCGGGCATGTTTGTGACCGCCATTTCCTCATAAAGTCAGTATTTTTCTTTTCTTTATCAGCCGTTTTCTCAAAACGCGACTTTTCTCTATACTTTTTAAAAAATAACTCCACCATTTTTCATCCAATCTTCATGAAATTTTCACAGAATGAAGAGAAGAGGTAATACTAAAAATTTGTCGGTTGAATTTTTGATATTGGAAGAGATTTTTTTTGGTGGTGTCAGGAGTGGATTTTCACGGATTTTTCGCAAACTTGAATGCTACCTCAGGAAAAAATTCATTAAAAATTGTATAATTCGTTTAGGAAAAAAACAACAGACAAATTTTAGATCTAATGTTTGTGAACACGAATGCAAAAAAGCAATCAATTTCTTTGAGCCATAAGTGCGGCATTCATTACGTAAGACATGTCAATAAAATCCAATATGGCGGCGTATCCATGGAAACGAAATTTTTTTCTCAAATTTGATTGCGAATTTTAAGACTCCTTACTATGCTTGTTATATATTTGAAATGTGGTAAAATTCGGTCGAGTAAAAAGCGAGATAGCCTCCAGGTGTAACCCCCCCCCCTCCCTTAACCTATTCATCAGCCACTGTCCAATGCAGCCACCATATCAAAATTATAATTGTCAGTGGTTAATTTCGCGACCAGTCCACTTCAAAACATGCTCAGTGTGGTCACTTACTTCAAATGTTTTCTGCCAACCCGTCCACGGCCTTGTTGTAGCCTAGATGTACTTACGCACTACACATATACATGGCTACTAAACAACCTGAGGCGGGACTCATCGCAACGCATATTCAATGACGTGCAAATGTCCCATAAACCGAGCACACTGTGACACAGCCGCGGGCCACATCTGACGCCAGTAAGTAATTAAACAACACCCAAAAAAAGAAAAAGAATAGAAAAGAAAGGCAGAAAAATTTAGTGCAATTGTTTTTACGTACCCATCGACATAATTCTAAATAATTTATCTGGGATGCGGGCTTCTGTCTCTGCCTATCAACTCTCAGTCAAGGCCAAACCCGGGCTGAGACTGAGAGACCAGAGGGAGACAGGTACAAGTACAACATCCCGGGGAATCGAGTCCGGATCTTCTCAGGGATGCCAAACGATTTTTGAAAAAAAACAAAAACAACCTGAAAATGAGCGGACCATCACATTCCATCTAAAACAAACTTTGTAAAGTTTTTAAATGAGAACACAAAAACATCTCTCTTACCTCCCCCCATGTCCTTTGCAAGGGTATAAGGATTTTAGTTTCATCAATTCCGGTAATATTATATCTGTCTTGAGAAGAAGGCCTTGTTCTTCAGGGATGCCAAATGATTTTTTTTTTAAACAACAACCTGAAAAAGCCTGAAAAACCTGAGATTTGGCATCCCTGTCTGTTGCGAGCGACAACGGAACGCCTTGCCCGTTAGCCGCTACGTCGGTGGCCTAGTGGTTAGACTCTCGGACTCGCAACCGTAAGGTCGTGGGTTCGAATCCCGTCAGGGACCCGACGTTGTGTCCTTGGGAAAGGCACTTTACACGAATTTTCCTCACTTCACCCAGGTGGGAATGGGTACCCGGCTATAGACAGCGAAAGATCTTGTCAGTTTGTTAGTGTTTGAGCGCTTAATCAGCTGCTTGCACTGTATGCTTCCCAGGAAGCTGAGAATGTTTCGGAGTGTTCCATGGTCTGCTGGGGTAATAATATAGTGTAAAGCGCATAGAGCCTGCTGTTGAGCGGGGATATGCGCTATACAAATGCTATCTATTATTATTATTATTATTATTACATCACCCACAGACGCAGGACACAGTAATTATCTGTCCCCGTGGTTTTACGCACCTCGCATAATTTAGCAAAATTTGATATTTTCTTGTTTAAACTTAAAACAACGGGGACAGAATTATAGCACACTACTGCTGGCCTTGGTAAATGGCTGGGTCAAGAGTTTGGAGGACTTTTTCCCCTCTTGTTATGTTGTTTTGTGAATAACCACTGTGCTAGGGATGTTGGAGTCTTGGTAGAATTTCTCTTTCAAAAAGATCTTATGATAGATGATAACTTTGCAGCGTATCATCATCATCATAATAATAATAATAATAGACAGACAGACACATAGATAGATAGATAGAGATAGGTGGATCATTTGATCGCTTTTAAGCACAAGGGGGCTATCACGAAAAATGCTGTTTTGAGAAAATCAAAGGTAAAGTTTTTGCCCCTTATTCGGTTTCTTCAAAAGACGAGGGGTTTTCTCTATAACCAAACAAATATATTCTCCAATGAAACCAGATTTCTCCTAAAGGTAGGGCAATGCCCACGTTTGGAGTAGGTCAAGATTTCTGGAAACCCTCAAAATTTGGGTTAGCCCACTTGTCCTTTATATAAAAGCGACCAATTGTACAGAGCAAATCACCACTCACCAGCGAGCTCTACGCGCTCCACAATCTATACTATTACCCAGCAGACCTGAGAGCATTCTGAAACAATCTCAGCTTCCTGGGAAGCATACAGTGCAAGTGGCCATTTATAGTAGGCGCTAAAACACTAACACACTGACAAGATCTTTCGCAGTCTATGGCCGGGTACCCATTCCCACCTGGATGAATTGAGGAAAATTCCTGTAACGTGCCTTTCCCAAGTACACAAAGTCAGGCCCACGGCTCGAACCCCCGAACCCGCAACCTCACGATTACGAGTCCGGTAGCCTAACCACTAGCCACCGACGCCATAAAGAGAAAAACCGAGGTGATCAAGAAGACAGACAACAGGAAGGAATGCAGTAGGCTATGTGTACCAGTAGCCTACCATTATCGTCATTATCTGCTCCAGACCTGACGACACCTAAAGAAGAAGTAAAAAGAGTGGGTGGTTGGTGGGCGCTCTGGTGCGATTTGCTCCTTTTTTCATGTCAAATATCTATTGTCCTTGTCTTTCCTTGATTTCTGTGTATGTTACTCTTTTGTAACACATCTATCCTTCGGCAGTTATATGACCTTATTGGGTTGCAAGTGCCGTAAAACTCTTATTAAAACTTATTATTATTATTATTATAATCATTATTATTAAAGTAATAATAGTAATTATAATTATAATGATTTAATGCATCGGATATTCTTTTTCAGACGATAACATGCATTGCAAAAGAAGAGAGAAAAACTAATATGCAGAAAGAGGAGATGAAAGCAGACAGCAGAATATGGTTAGAGAGTAGGAAAGGAGGTAAAAGAAGCTACTTTTTAGAGAAGCAAGTTTTCCGTCGCTGTCAGGTTTCGAACCAGGGACCTATTGAATGAGAGATGAACACCGTAACCTCTTGACCACAAAAGCCCCCTCTAGACACAGTTACCAAGAAACGCTCACAATAAGGCAAGTTACCAAGAGATGAAAACATGACAAATGCTATACTCTAAGACAAAACAGAAAATGTAGTTTTCTCTTAAAGAAAAAAGAACAACAACAACAAAAAATCAATAATATAACACAATTGATATTTTGTAAAATCCGATTAATTTTTAATTACAAGGATCAGTTCAGTCATTCGTTGCCGCACAAGATATGTACTACTTAAACTAAACCATACATGAAGCACTTAATCAAAAATAAATATGACTCAGTCTCTGGTCAATCAAACCAAGATCACATTTTGAAGAGGAAGTGTAACAAAGTTAAAATAGACTACCATATTTTCCTTCTTAGTCGCATAACCTGCTTTTATTCCACAAACTTCATAAGCAATCTGATTACTAGAAAATAGATCACAAATGGGAACAATACAATCCAACAAATGTACTACATGAACAGCTTAACTGAACATCTAAATACACCAAAAACAACAAACCTGGATCGATCTATCACCTATGATTTACTATCCCGTATTCTTGGACAAATTTAGACAACAAAGTACTGTCTAAAATTTAGACTGTCACATTCCCATAAAAATAAAAAATGACAGATATACTCACATACAAATGTAAAAAAATTTTTTCCTGAAAGCAATCTAGGAAATATCTTCCATACAGTACAGAGGTTATAATCTGTTTTTGATACAATTTAGTTTGTTTCAAAAGTGGACAGTTTGGCCCATTGTCCAACCTCACTGAGAATCTAACGCAAACTTCCGAGCACTGGCCTGGTTCAGTGTACATCAACAGTGCCAGGAAGGCAGGAAAGGTCAACGTGTGTCAAGAAATTTTGCTTGTTGCTACAGCATAGAATGCATCATTGAACCGGTATTCAAGAGATCACATTAAATTCAATTCCACACAAGTCAAAACATTCCACCATTTTCAACAAACCAATGTACAAATTTACACCTAATGTTATAATGATAAGAATACTGCAATGTTTTCATCATGACCGGATGTAGATTGTAAACTTTGTTTAAATTTAAAAAAAATAAAAATAACAGATCAGTCATCAAAATCTTAAGCTAGTACCGTACTTCAAGTACACATTTAAAGCATAGGCCATGAATAAGTATATCTATCTGTCTCTTAAAAAAGGAACGTTCCATTAGATATCTCCTACGGAAATTTTGCTTCTCAGGGTCACATTCATTAGTCTTTGTCACTTTATGAACTCTTGAGCTTTCTTGTTTCTTCATTTTAGGAAAAGTTGTCTTTAAGTAGCCACTGTTTTAAAGTTAAAGTACAAAACAAAAAGTCCGTCGCCAACTTTGTTCCGAATCAAACCAGAAAATGAAATGAAAACTTTGACATTCCACTCACAGATATTGCCTCACAACCCACAGTCAGCACTGACCATGAGGTGAGCATGCTGCCGATGAAAAGTATTCTATACAGATGTAAAGGTAAATAAACAAAAATTCAGTAAAATCTAATTACAGTGTAACAATATTGCAACAATTTAAAAAAACTAAAGCTACACTTTAAACATCTGTGTCAAAGTTATTTTCACTTTCTCATAAACACCTAAAAATACAGACCCTCCTATAGAAATCCACATGACCCTAGGGGCAATACCAGCATAGAGTCCCATGAAACCTTTTTCCTTGATGATGGTCTGCACAACAAAAGAGATGCTTCCCTTCGCAATGCTTGAGCCCTTCTCCGCCAACATGACCCTCGTCTTCACCACATCCAGAGGGGTTGTGATTGCCGCTGAAATGGCCCCTGACGTTGCACCGCACAGCGACGACTGCAGGGCTGTGATTGGCTGCTCTGTGTGTTTGGAGACGCGCGACTTGAGGTACTCCCACAGTGGAAACTGAATGATGGAGAAAGGCACTTCTCGCAGAACTGTACTGAAGTAGCCACGGTAGAAACCACCTAATCCTTCGCTATTCAGTGTTTTTTTGAAAGAGGCTATGGAGGATCCTGTACCCAACGCCTGAGTCCGTTGTTTGACCACCTCTACAGGCACACGGATTAAACAAGCCGAAACTTCTCCTATGGAGGCAGCCATCATGTGACCAAACGACTGGTACCTGCGATCCTGCGTGATGTTATTGAATGTCGTCTTTGTCGACTCGTACGCCACAAAGAAAAGAGCAGCAGTGGGGGCAGAGCCAACAGCGGCGGAAAAGAGGCCAGAATAGATGCCCCGGAAGCCACCTGACTTCCAGAAGCCACGCTCCGACTGTAGCCTTGTCTTGATGGTGTCCAGGGGGAACAGGATGATGTCAACTGAGGTGCCCGCCGCTCCGCCAGCTGCCAAAGCCACTCGGAAGTCGGTGTTCTCCACAATATCAGGATCAATGACGTCCTCCATTTTTGCGTATCAACAGGTATGGCACCAATAAATACAAAAACAAAAACTCCTTTTCTCGAGTCCCTGGGAATGCCTAACCGTGAACTGAGTTGTAGGTTTTCACCAGATTTAAATGCTACAGAAAAAAATGAAACAACAACACTATCAACTTTTGAATGGTGACCGCAATTGAGCAATAGATTTTCTCTCACGTATACAACCAGACAAAACAATCAAATACGAAAAGCTGACATATAAAGCAATGAAGCCAAAAAAGTATGAAAGAAAAGTGTTACATGGGTTGCACCCTATTAATGGTGCTATCATTAAGTAGATGTCGATATTAGACTAGTGTCACAAATCTAGATATCTGGAAATTAATAAACTTGCCGCTCCTTGCCAAGTAGATACTAGAATGCCAATATATTCAGAAACAGCTTTTACCAGAAGACAAGCAGAATATATCATTTAAGTTCTTATAGAACTGAAATATCAAAGCAACATCTGGACAACAAGAGTAAAATAACACTGAAATTGTCGGTAAGCAAATAGGAAAAAAAGAAATCTTGAGCAATATGCAGTTATTCTCCTTCGTATTCCAGAAGAGTCTTGAAAGGTGCCGTCAGCTTTTTCCTTCCTCCCAGGTCAGTCAGCTCAATAATGACGAGACACAATACAACATCAGCTTCAAGTTTTTCCATAAGCTGGCATGCTGCTTTCATAGTACCTGCAAAGAGTTGAAAAAAGACAAGAATTTAGCTGTGTACCTTGGGCTTTATGGTCAACTCCTTTACCCTTTTGAGCCCTTGCCACCGGTGGCACGTAAAACTGACACCGCGGTGCGTAAAACTACTGCCCGTATGCCTAGCCACCGGTACAAAGGTGAGCGAGACCCTAGTATCCCTAACCCGACCTGCCCGAGACAAAACGCATACGGAAAACAGTGTTTACTAACCAGGATGTTATTGATTATCTTGAAGATCTGAATTAGATGCTGGAAATGACAAGCTATGAATGGGATATGAAATGTGATTCTGACAACCATATGAATGTTAGAAATATATAAGTCAGGGGCTCAGGCAGAGGGACATGGTAGCCTCAGGAGGTCAGGGCTCAAAGGGTTAAACATGCGAGACTATCTGAACATCAAAGTGGACCCCCTAATCCACTAAAAGGAGGATCTGACAAGGACCATACGTTGATGTAAAGATATACCTTACAAGTGTATGACTTCCCTTTAAAGTTTTTAAACCCGGACCCATAGCATAGAGCCCAGGCATAACATTTTTTAAAAAGAGCTTATTAATTTCAAAGACGGCACAACTTTAAGAGGAATTTTTTTTTTAACCCTAAGAATGTCAATAGCAGGCTTGCCAATTTGTCCAAAACTCAATCAAAGACTTCCGACGCTATAATATCAGATTGCGTAACAACGAACAATTACATCATCAAGTAGGACTGGTTTTGGTCTGGTGTTTATGATATGGTGCTCAGACCCCTTATTACCAAATTTTGGACAGTCCTAGAAAATTCAGGACAGTTGACAAGCCTGCAATAGGCAAAGGGGCAGTGGCATCATTCATACTGACTGATAAGTGATTACTGTCACATTATTACAAAAAAAATCCCCCAAAACAATCAGAACACTAGAGACCTATAACAAAGTGCAACAGCAACAAAACACAAAACAGCACCTCATGAAGGACAAAAACATTTTCACTATTTGTCAATCGCACAAATAGCAAAAAACTAGATAGCAATAGCAAAGATACAGACAAGATAGCTCGTAAGAGGAAACAAGACAATAGATATAAAAAAAGCTTTTCAAGTAAAGATATTATTCTTTATTTCTTGATCTTTAAAAGAAACTTGCTTCTGCAAAAGACAAGAAAGCAACTTGGCAAAAATGTCCTAAAAATACCTACCTCCAGTGGCCAACAGATCATCAATTATCAGCACTTTTTGACCTTTGCTAACAGAGTCTTTCTGAACTTCGAACTCGTCCTGAGGAAAACGACAAAAGAAAAACAAAATGTTCAGAAACTACCTCTAAAATATATAAACCTTGTAAAGAAAGCCGTAAAAAGAGCACTGAAAGAACCCCCAAAAAACTTTTAAAACTAGTTAAGATAAACCAATATTCTTGAGCAAAAAGCAGTCAGCCCTTGCTTTTATACTTTGCCATGCTTGAAGCAAAGATATTTTTTTTTAATGCACAAGACGACTGAGTAATAAGTTGAGGAAAGCTGAAAACAGTTGCCACACACACTTGGTTCTTGCAAACTCAGATGACCACAAACTATCTTGCAATAACGCTATGACCAATGCACTGCCATCACACTGCCACTAAAGGAAACACCTGTTCCACTTTTAATTAAATAAAGACTTCAGGCCAGAATATTACACACATATTTTCCAATATTCATGAACAGTAAAATCCAAAATGAGACAAAAATACTGGAAAAAGGAAAATAAACGCCACCCAAAACTACCCCCCAACCCCCCCCCCCCAAAAAAAAACAACCCCAAACCCTCCCCAAATAGAACAGTTTATAACAAGCCAAACTCCAAACAATTAAGGCCACCCTTTGTTCGATTTGTGTCAAAAGAGAAGCACGTCAGCATAACAATGGTCCTGTCAAGCTGAGAGTTACAATTTTTAAATCCAAAAAGACGAACAGAAATAACTGGCATAAGTTCTGAAATAAGACGCACGCGGTGCAGCTCTACAGACACTCATTAAACGTTACTGTACTTTCATCCAAAGGAACAATTTCCAAACACTCAAAACATAGGCCTTGACCTTGGGGATTCTCATTGAAAGCAAGACAAAAGTCAAAGTCAGCAAACAAAAACGTACACCCCCCCCTTTTTTCCCCTTCCTAACCCCAGGCCGACTGCGGGGCATCAGTGACGTCACCTCAGACAATGATTTATACTCACACCGCTGTTTGTTGCAAAACAAAATTAATCGACAGTGTGAAAATGGTGAAATGGTATAGGTTTAATAATTTAAAATTTAAAGCCCCCAAAACTACTTTAAAGTTATTTAAGAGGCTGGACTTCCGAGTTTATTTTTCTTCGAAAGGACCGAGCCAAATAGGAAATTCTTGTAAACTGCCTTTCCCAAGGACAGGGAGAAAGACAGACAGACAGGCAAAACATGAGAGAGAGAGAGAGGAAGAGAGAGAGAGAGAGAGAGAGAGAGAGAGAGAGAGAGAGAGAGAGAGAGAGAGAGAGAGAGGGAGGAAGACAGAGAGAGAGAGAATGAGAGAGAGAGAGAGAATGAGACAGAGAGAGAATGAGAGAGAGAGAGAGAAAGAGAGAGACAGAGAGAGAGACGGGGGGGGGGGGGGGGGGTAGAGTAGAGGGAAAGAGACAGAGAGAAAAAAAAACCCCACACACACACATCCACACACATGAACACATATTTCAGAATCAAATGAGGCTTATTAACAAATAATGTATTCAGTATTATGATCTACTAATCATGGGTTCTTTTAGCCTTTATGCATAACATTTACTCATCCTTTTCGACAGCATACTCAAAAAGGCAGGCCTCACATTACAGCTATACATTATTTAATGTAAATTCAATTATTCCCCGGAGCACAATTACCAACGGACCCAGATAATACTAACAAGGGAAGAGCCCACACAGGTGTTACCAGTTTCAGTTTCAGCCACAGAATTATTCTGTGGTTTCAGCAGAGGTTTTACGGTGCACGCAACTGCATAAAGTCATATGAGCGCCAAGGGGTGGATATCAACAGAGAAGTCCTTACAGGCAATCAGGCTTAATCTGCTCACCTTTCTAGCTTGAACAGCACAAAGTCTGCTTCGACTATCAAGGCACCCCGGAAATAGCAGTTCACAAGAGAGTGAAAAACACAAAAGAAGTAGAGGAAAAAAGACGATAGCAAGGAGTATGAAAGAAAAAGCAGCAGTTCCCTGTTGCAGTTCAGGCACAGTTATGAGCATGACATCGATAGATCAGCCCATTTACAACTCTACTGTGCATAAGAACATGTTAATGTCCCTCCTTTGGGAACGGCCTAAAGACACCTCAGTCAGTAGCACCACTTCGGTGGGTCAGGTGTTACCAAGGCAGGCAAGTGCTCATACTAAACTTCGGTCGTCAAGTCTGCGAAAAGTACTGATTCGGTTTGTTAGGGTAAAGAAATCACATCGACACAATTAGGTCTATGGTTATTTCGTGCAGGGGGAAAGTAAGACAGACAGATAGAAACAACAGAGGAAAAGTAGAGAAGTAGGGCCTACTAGTGGCACCCTCCAACCACCCGTCCACTGATTCGGTACAACACCGGATACATAAATGTATGTGCATGTGTGTGGAAGGAAGGCAAACAGTCTAGCACATACACACACACACTACGTACACACACACATTACACACACACACACACACACACACACACGCACACTACGTACACACATACACACACACACATTACACAGACACACACACACGCACACACTATTTACACACACTGTATAATACTTAAAACAAGTTTTGTTTATATATATATTTCTTAAAACCAAACGAATGATGCAAAACAAAAGAATAAAGGAGTAATAAAAAAGAACTGTTTAAAGGTAGCGAATAACAAGCTGTCTTATTTACCACAGCATTAGTGGATTTAAGCTCAGAAGTCTCTCTCTCTCTCTCTCTCTCTCTCTCTCTCTCTCTCTCTCTCTCTCTCTCTCTCTCTCTCCCCCCCCACCCCTCACCTCTTATACAAAAAGGAAAGATGAGGACCCAATTGCATACTCAACTGTCATTGTATAGTTTCACACATTACCATAACAGACAGAAATATACTATCAATTGATATGACAAGTAAAGAGAGATACATCGATACATGCAACACGATATAAGATCAGAACGGTAGCACATCGTCACTATATCAGAAACGTATTGCAAGGAAAAGTTGGAGTAAAGACATGCACAGCGACACAATAATGGTCATTTAGTGAAACAAAGAAAGACAGGCAGACAGAAATCAAAACAGCAGAAGGCAAGTAAAGAAGCAGGACCAGCCAGTGGCGACCTCCAACCACCCGCCAGTATGGAAAAGCAGTCATTTAGTGCTGGGAATAAGTCAGACAGACAGACAGACATAAACAAAAGAGAGAAAGTGAAGAAGTAGGACCTACCAGTACTGTATCCTAACCACCTGCGCAAAGAATACATATATATATATATATATCACACACGCACGCACACTCACACACTCACACACACACACACACACACACACACACACACACACACACACACACACACACACACACACACACACACACACACATAGTGTAACACAATTCAATCTGCTGATCTGTCCCCGTGGTGAAGCGCCCGATTATACAATAAGCCACATTAGACACCTTTACAAAGGCTCTCCTATCTCTCACTGAACACCCACACAGCTGCTACTTGGTGCAATTATCATTTTCATTCGATGCAGAAAATAAGAAGTCACTTTCAATATAATTCTGTCCGGAAACGAACAACAAAAATTAAAAGTGCAAACATATTATAAAACGATTTCCTATACTATGCCATAAAACGCCCATAGTTAAAGTAAACTATTCATTTTATAGTCCTCCATTGAAAACGTCACATGGCCATCACCGCTATGCTGTGAGCTATACAAAAAATGTGAGGCAGCGTGGTGGAATCAGGCTCTCGTCAAAATAATCAAAGTGAAGAAACTTGCATTTTTCCTCAAGTTTGTGAATTTTTATCAATTTTTTGGGGGGGCCCAACACCTTTCATGCCCGTTAAAGAACTCATTTCTGTGAGGATTTTTCTGAAAAAACGTTGATTAAAGGCACAAACAATGTAAATTTTCAGTTACCACGGACTCTTAAGCTAAGGAAATAACTAATCTTCGGCGACCATTTTCTCACTTATTTTACCTCTGAAAACGACTGAACCTCACCTCCTTCTTTTGCAAATATCTCGACTTGTATTCGAGATAAATGGATATTTTTTTCATGAAAATAAAGACAAGTAAACACGCTTTAAGATGATACCAATAACTCTACATGCCCAAAAATTGACGAGAGCCTGATTCCACCACGCTGCCTCACAAATAGCTTCATGTATTAGACTAATTAGAGTCTAATTTTACTGGTTGCAACCAGGGTAGTCCCCATCGACACAAAACCGTTCCGGTTGGAAGGAGTAAAACTCTTTTCTGTTTTCTTAGTTTTAGTTTTAGTAGAGGTTTTATGGCACTCGCAACTGCATAAGGTCATATGAGCGCCAGAAGGTTAGAGGCGTTACAACAGAGTAACAAACATAAAAAAGAAGAAGGGGAGATAAGGACGATAGATGTTTGACAGGAAAGAAGAAGCAAACCACACCAGAGCACCCGCCAACCACCCACTCACACAAAACCGCTCCAGTTGGAAGGAGTAAAACTTTTGTTTTTATCCCCCCTCTCTCTTGCTTGTTAGGGAGTAAAAAGCAGTACATCGACGTGACACAATAATGGCTTTTTAGTGCTGGGAAAAAAGGTAAGACAGACAGGAACAACAGAGGGGAAAGTAATTGAGCAGGGGCTACCTCCAACCACCCGCTCTCACTCTTTCACATACACATATGAACGGCATACAGTTGGGTTTTTCTTTTTGTTGTTTTTGTACGTGTTTTACGGAGCTCACAACTGCAAACGGCAATAATGAGCGTGTGGGACACATTAAACATTTTCAGTTGGTAGGAAATTTTGAATTTTGCCCGGGTGGCGGCCGAAGCCTACTCTCATCGATATTAGACCACCAAGGGATCTTTAACGTGCGCAACTTGCACACGGGACTTCTGAAATTTTCGCCTTTGTAAGAGAAGGCTATAGGTGTAGATCTTTCCCGCAAGAAGATCAGGGGTTTGGCTG